TGGTATAATTAACACAAATTTGTTATTAACCAGGTCCTGCCTAGGTACAAGGAAAACTAGGCAGTTGCTTACAGCTGAGAGAGTCCTTTTCTTTCTACCGAGTTTTCTTTGCTTTTACTAATTGGCTTTCATTACAGATGAACAATAGATACTATTTTTAAAAGATTTATTTTTATTTTTTGTTTTTAATTAGAAAGGCAGATTTATAGAGGAGAGTCAGAGAGAAAGATTTTCCATCCACCGGTTCACTCCCCAATAATGTAATAGCTGGAGTTAAGTCAATCTGAAGCCAGGAGCCAGAAGTATCCTCTAGGTCTCCCATGTGGGTACAGCATCTCAAGGCTTTGGGCCTTCTTCTACTGCTTTCCTAGGCCACAAACAGGGAGTTAGATGGAAAACAGAGCAACCGAGACATAAGTTGGTGCCCGTATGGGATCTTGGCACTTACAAGGTAAGGATTTAGGCCCTAACCTTCTAATTTAAAAAATATCTATATATATTTGGGCCCAGCACGATGGCCTAGCAGCTAAAGTCCTCACCTTGAATGTACTGGGATCCCATATGGGCGCTGGTTCTTATCCTGGCAGTCCTGCTTCCCATCCAGCTCCCTGCTTGTGGCCTGGGAAAGCAGTCAAGGACGGCCCAAAGCCTTGGGACCCTGTACCCCATGGGAGACCTGGAGGAGGTTCCTGGCTCCTGGCTTCAGGTCTGCGCAGTTCTGGCCATTGCGTTGCTTGGGGAGTGAATCATCTGCTTGGGGAGTGAATCATCGGAAGGAAGATCTTCCTCTCTGTCTCTCCTCCTCCTCTCTGTATATCTGACTTTCCATAAAAATAAATACATTTTTAATATATGTAATTATTTTAATTTAAAGTCAGAAAGACAGAGAGGGTGAGATCTTCCCTCTATTGGTTCACTGTCCAAATGGCTGCCAAGGACGAAGCTGGGAGCCAAGAATGCAGGGGTTCAGGGACCCGAGCCATACACCTCGGTTGCCTTCCCAGTCCATTCCACAAGGAATTCGACAGGAAGTGGAGTAGCCAGGACACAAGCTGGCACCTATATTGGATGTTCATGCTATAGGTAAAGGATTAGCATGCTATACCTCCAAGTTGCTGGGCCAACGTTCTCATTTAATGAAGGGAAAGTGAGGCCAGAAGAGGTGGGGTTACACTGAATGGTAAATGGGCCATCTGGTTCCTAAGGCCATGCTCTTAATGGTTGTTATCATTAAAATACTTTATTAATTATATCGCCCAACTGGTTCCTTTCAGTAGGAAACAAAGCTACGGATTTATTTCATATCTGCTTGACTCAAGTGACAACCCTGCATTCTATTATTACTTCTCATCATTTAAAAAATTGATTTCCATGGATTTTCTACATATCCCATCATTTCAACTGCAAACAATGATAAATTTACCTTTCCTTTTCCAAAAGTTACAATACCTGTTTTTCCATTTCCAGTCTTACTGGATTGGATTTTTCAGAATAATATGAAGTAACCTGATGATGAAACACGACATTCTCGCTTCGCTTTATCTTTATCTAGGTTGTTGATTTCATATTTGTACATATATGATATAAAGAGTAGGATTAATTGAAGAATGTTTAGAGCAAGTGGTGTTGACTCACCATGTTTTCTTCTTTGACGAGTAAAACATGATCAAACATTTTTTTGTTAGTTTATTTTTGACCTGTTTTATGAATAAACTTCATAATGTGTAATCTTGTGGGAATTATTGGGATAAGTCTAATTGGTTGTGTTATATAATTACTAGGCCAATATTGTTGGGATTTTTTTTTTTTCTTTTTAGATCCATAACTGAGATTGGTAGAGGGCTTTTTGGGGGTGCTATTTGGATGGCTTTTTTGGGGTGTTATTTCTGACAGGTTTTGTTATTACATGTGCTCCTGTTTCATAAATAAACTGAGTACTTTTCCATCTTTTTCTAGGTTCCAAACAGTTCCTGCTTTCTATTCAGCTTGACAGATAAATACTGTATAATAAAGATGACAAGGAAGAGAATGCAAATTGGCACAGATTATTTTGCCTCAGTAACTCGGCCACTTTTGTAGCTGGAGGACAGCTTTGATTGTGAGGAAGCAATTTGGAGCGGTGGGAGGGTCAAACAGGTCAGTTCTTTGGTGTTGACGAGTGCGGCTGGCTGGGCCGGCTCAGAGGTGAGTGAAGGTGGGACAGGGGAGGGAGGCATGCAAGCGCTGGGGGAGGAAGGGGAAAACAAGGTTTAAAATGGCCTAGCTATTTAACCAAGGACACAAACTCAGGATCAGGTGCAAGTAGCAGGCTTGAAGGTGAGAAACACTTGTCAGCTCAGTGGGAGAATGGGCCAGTAGATACCCCTCACCTTCCAGCAAATCTCCAATGCTCTGGCCTTCTGGAGAATGGGAAAGTATTTCTCTCAGCCAGCCAGGGTATCTGCCCTGGCGTTTGACCATCTCCCTACATCTTCATCGCAGCCAAGGACGCCCTGCGGTGGGGTGACAGTGAGCACGGGAGTCCAGCGTCAAGGGCAGAGTCTGGGAAGGCAAGCCTGGGACAAGACCGCAGCAGCTTGGACTTCATGCCTGGCACACAAGGCCCGGTGCTGCGGGCTTCTGTGTTTCTTCCTCAGTTCTTCTCTTTTTGCTCCTCTGCAGGGTACAGACGCAGGCCCAAACTCACATGCTATTATTCTTCATGGCACAAGAAGCGCTACAGGCAAGGCAAGCACAGTGGGACGTGGCTGCCTGCCACACACCTGAGACCACTTTGCATAAAGAAGCAAAGACCACCCAGACAAGAGGAAAATTAAGGTCAGTCAGAAATTATTCTAGGCTTTTTCTTTTTTAAGCCACAGATTCTTTGAAAATCATTTGAACGGATGGCAGGACGGATGTTATTGCTTTCTAGATTTTTCTCTCTCCCTCTCACCCATGGATGGGTTAGTTAACCAACAGAGCAAGCCATCGGACTGATATCAAGCGTGAGCTGCCAGGAGCACAGATGGTCCACAACCCAGATAATCAGCTTCTGAAGCCGCTGCAACATCTAATAAACGTTCTGTAGACTCGGGGAGTTTGGGTGGTCACAGCTGGGGCAGGGAACGCGCGCGCGCGCGCGCACACACACACACACAGGCTCAACAGTTCTTACCTCAGAAAATGTAAGTACCCACTTCCTGTGGACAGCCACCTACTACTAGGACCTGGAAAGAATTCCACAGGCATTCCACAGATCCCTGAGCGAGGGAGAGCCCAGCTCCCTTTTTTCTGAGTGAGTCAGGGCCAGAGTCACTTCTGTCCAGAGAGAACAGTTGGAGGAAGTTGGGGTGGGAGAGAATCCTTCCCCATGAGGAGAAGGAACCCTATTTTCTCCCAGGTGATCACGGGCAACCCCAACAGCATCAATCACGTGGGAAGTACGTGCCTTTTGTGTGATGTGATGAAAATGGTATTTTCCCTACATGACCTTCCTTCCACAAACACATAACCCCCCGCTGACTCATGAGAACATCAGAGAAATGCCAGCGGAGCGGTCTTCTACGAAACGCCTGGCTACCAAGATCACCAAAAACAAGGGACATTTGAGAAACTGTCATAGCCAAGAGGAGCCAAAGGCAACATGACAATTAAATGTAATGCGGCGTCCTGAATGGGACCCAAAAGTAGGAAAAGGTCTGATTGTTAACAACAATAATAAGGCGCAAGCATCTCCAACCCCTTAGAATCCACAGCTCTTCGTTTGGAGCTCTTCACCTTTTGGAGTCTTACACTGGACCGGGGAGTCCTCGGAGCTCACTCCTCCCGCATCCCTTCCCTGTTTTCCGGGTGTCTGCCCCCGCACGGGCCTGTGGTCATCTCAGGTCAGCACTCTCAGGCAGGCATTCATTACCTTTCTTCTGGCAAGTTCCAGATGCTATAAGGTTCACAACACGCTTCAGCCAACTCTCTATGACACAGCGCCCCCTAGGCGTCCAGCTCAGCACGTCCAGACCCAAATCCTGCTTTTTGTCCTTTCTCCCCGACTGCCCGGACAGACCCGGGACTATCACCTTGACAACTTCTGGGCCCCAGCCAGGCCGACCCTAAATTCAGGGTCCCAGGTGCTGCAGCTGCCTCTCCACCCCTCAGAGCCTACGCACTCCCTGCCTTCAGGGGTCTCCATGTCTCCTCTCTACGTCTTCCTTTGCTTCCTTTCCTCCTTTTCCGTTACTCCAGCAGCTACCTAAAGGGCAAAATTGTTTTGCCCTCACCAAGAATTGTTTCTCAAGCGGTGAGTGTGCGTTGTTGATTTACAGCCTTTGTTATGAGCCAGCGATGCCAGGAACGAATGTCTTTGCTATTACAATCTATTCAAACACGTGACAGTAAATAAATATATATAACATGAGTAAGGGGACAAGTCTTATCTTTGCACCAGCCATGCATCCAGTTTTCTTGGGTCAAGAAACACCTTTCAAAGAGGTGACAGAAAAGGTTAGCATGGCTGTAGAACCCAAATAACTCCGAACGTGACAAACTAGAGGGTGAAGTTAAAAAAAAAACAAAAACAAAAAACCTTGGCATAGTGAATGGAAAGAAAACAGAGACTATAAATAGAACAGTGCTAAGGATCCTTTTCAAGGACGGATTGCAATAAAGGAGTACCAGTCCCAACGAGCCAGCCAGGAGTCGAACCTGGAATCTTCTGATCCGTAGTCAGACGCGTTATCCATTGCGCCACTGGCCCCGAGACAATCACGTCTCCTCCATGATGATTCTTCAAGCTGATACTGCGGGGTTTCATGGGACGTGTAGTCCTTTGGTGGTTTTCTGCGGTTGTACAAAGCATTCTGGGAGATTCAGGTTCCCGATGAACATGACCCCGCGATTGGTGGTTCCGCAGGAGCCACACCGTACGTCACGGTACAGCCCGCGGATTGGCGGCAAGGGTCGTTTTCCACGCCTCCGGCTCCGGCTTCGGGGCTGTGGAGGACGCTCTGGTTGTTAAGGCGACTCGTCCCGCCTCCTCGGGACCTTGTTCAGCTTTGTGATTGGTTGCTAACATCAAGGAATCCCGGCGTGGACGGCGCGAGGGAAAAGATGGCGGCGATGGCGGTCGGGACTGCCGGTGGGAGCCGCGTGTCCAGCGGGAGGGACCTCAATTGCGTCCCTGAAATAGCTGACACACTAGGGGCTGTGGCCAAGCAGGGGTGAGGGCCGGACCTCCGTGAGCGGGGGAGGCAGGGTCCGAACTCGAGGACGGGAAAGCTACCCTGCCCGGAGAGGCAGGGATGAGGGGATCGGGTGGGATGGTGGCTTGAAAAAACCATTACTCCTGAGGGGATAAGCCTCGCCTCCCGGAATAGAAACTTAGGGGAGTTGTATGGCCACTGAGTCCAGAAGTCGGGGGAGTTGTTGGGTAAACTCAAACAGGGGAGCCTGCAGCAGTATCGCAGGGCTCCGGGAGTAAGGGGAAGCGTGGGGGGCAAAGATGAGAAGAGGTTAATTTTTCGGGGAGGACAAGTGTAGGCTGAACCGGGGTAGATCTGAATGGGACCATCCCAGAAAGTCAGAGACAGCAGAGGAGCAAGAGCACGAGTTGGCACGGGTTTCCTTCGGTTTTCCTTACTCATCTTTTGGCTGTGATTTTGGGGGGAGAAGTTGAGGCACAGTGCAGGGCGGTGTTGAGTCCCAGGCTGGGCTGCACTCTGGAGCCTCCGAAAGGGCTGTGCAAAGTCAGGCTAGCTTGAGTCCAGTTGCTTGGATCTGCGAGCGCTACCGCTCTCTTTACCTGATGATTCTGGGTCTGTCGCGGTTGTAGGTTTGATTTCCTCTGCATGCCTGTCTTCCACCCGCGTTTCAAGAGGGAGTTCACTCAGGAACCTGCTAAGAATCGGCCTGGCCCCCAGACACGCTCAGACCTACTGCTGTCAGGAAGGGGTAGGGACCATCCCATATGCCCCTTAATTTGTTAGCAGCAGTACCAACTTGTGCCTATCAAAGCCCTCATTCTCCTTTTCTGACTTGGCTATAATGGTGAGCCCCTGGGATATAGAGAATTCTTCTAATCTCTTTGCTTATTTGCTTTGAAAAAAAAAAAAAGAGCCATTACCCATTCTGCAATAGGCTATATCCTATGTCTGTGACAGCAAATATCTTTTGGCTCTCATTTCTACTTTCTGTTCCCCACTGAGAACTAGAAGTTGCACAAGTAAAGTGCTGAACCTCACTTGGTTTTTGTCTTTCCTGGGTGGGGGTGTACAGACTGGAATACGCTCATTGTGGGAAAGCTTTCTCCATGGATCCGACCGGACTCCAAAGTGGAGAAGATCCGCAGGAACTCTGAGGCGGTAAGACTGTGGGTCTCTTCACTTAGAGGCTGTTTTTAAAGATTCCATCTATAACCAGGTTGGGTCGGGGGATGGGGGTGTTTTTTACCCCCCTCCTCCGTAACTTGGTAAATCGATCAGTAAAAGTCATTGAAAGCTATTTGGAAAGTCAGCTCTTAATATTTTTCTTCTCTTCTCCATTCCAGGCCATGTTACAGGAGCTGAATTTTGGGGCCTATCTGGGTCTACCAGCTTTCCTGCTGCCCCTTAATCAGGAGGATAACACCAACCTGGCCAGAGTTTTGACCAACCACATCCACACCGGCCACCACTCCTCCATGGTATGGCGCAAGAGCTTGCTATTCTGCTGTGTTTTGGCTTGGGAGTTAGGCTCTGTTCAGGACCTGCTTGGGTCTACCCAGTCAGTGCAGGGGGTATTTGGCAAACTGCAAGTAACACTGCTCATGCCCCTGCCAACACACAGTTTCAAAATGTATAAAACACATAATTCTTTCTTGAAACTTTATAGTTGAAAGCCAAGGCAGGTATGTGCATTTACAGGATACATGGGGAAAATCACAAACTAGGAAAACCATGTAGCAGGGTTCATTTGAGATTTGGATCCAGGTCTTTTTAATTGTTGGGTGCTTACTGGGCCCAGTGAGTTCAGGCCAAGTTCTGAGAGAATACCTGTTGATGTGCAGTTCTGGATGCGTGTGCCCTTGGTGGCCCCCGAGGACCTGAGAGATGATATAATTGAGAATGCGCCAACTCCTCACACAGAGGAGTACAGCGGGGAGGAGAAGACGTGGATGTGGTATGTCTTTTTGTGGTTGCTCTGGGGAGGCACAGGATGGGGCCTGGCCCAAAGCCGCCTTGAGCTGGGGCGGTCAGTGCGTCACGTGTGTTTGTATTTTTCTGTGTCTGACTCTGGATAGGTGGCACAACTTCCGAACTCTGTGTGACTATAGCAAGAGGATTGCTGTTGGTAAGTCCACCAGGGCCCTGGGATGAATGGTCTTCCGGTGGTTTCTGGGAGCCAGAATCAGTAGCCTTGTCTGTACCGAGCAAGCACCACTTACTTGCCCTGTGCCGAGCTCAGGGATATCGTAACACAAAGGAGCGAGGAAGGGTTTCTCGCCTGGCGACAGTTGGCAGCTCTTTCTGTTCCTTTGTAGCTCTTGAAATTGGGGCCGACCTCCCATCTAACCACGTCATTGATCGTTGGCTTGGGGAGCCCATCAAAGCAGCCATTCTTCCCACCAGCATTTTCTTGACCAATAAGAAGGGATTTCCTGTTCTTTCTAAGATGCACCAGAGGCTGATCTTCCGCCTCCTTAAGGTAGGTGGTGGTCAAAGGATTCTAAAGGTAGACCAGCTGTATTTCTTAACTTACGTTATATATCATGTGTTTCTTAGGGGTGACTTTTCCTCTTGAGAGTAATTTCTGCCAAGGTCGGGGCTGTGAGCTTACAAAAAGCAAATGTCCTTGGGAGGACTAGCCAACCTTTGAAAGGGAACTGGACCCTATAAGGTTTTGTTTAGGAAGTTTGCAGTAAGGATCCACGGGACACTTTGTACCAGGATGGTACTTAGGAAGCCTAAGAAGGCCCTGGAAGTTTCTTGAGCCACGTTGTGGCATTTGGGACAGGCACTGGAGAACTGTTGGCCTGGGCTTTATTTGACGCTGAGGCTCTTTGGCCTTAGACCAGAATGTCCCAGAATGTTGGTGTGCAAACTGCATCTAATGCTCTGACTTCCCTCACAGCTGGAGGTGCAGTTTATCATCACCGGCACCAACCACCATTCAGAAAAGGAGTTCTGTTCCTACCTCCAATACTTGGAATACTTAAGCCAGAACCGCCCTCCGCCCAATGCCTATGAACTCTTTGCCAAGGGCTATGAAGACTATCTGCAGTCACCACTGCAGGTGGGCTGGGGATGCCCTGGGAAGGAGCTCGTGGGAGGTCATGGGAAGCAGTTGGTGTTCTGATGCATTGGGCTCCGTCAGCAGCTTCATTTGCATTTGTCCTTTGATTCATTGTCAGCCACTGATGGACAATCTGGAGTCTCAGACCTATGAAGTATTTGAAAAGGACCCCATCAAATACTCTCAATATCAGCAGGTACAGTGGGCCCAGGCTGGGCAAAGCACAGGGCCAGGCTGATCCGGGTGAGGGTAGAATCACAGCCATGAGATCTCTCCTTCCCCCAGGCCATCTATAAATGCCTGCTGGACCGGGTACCAGAAGAGGAGAAGGATTCCAATGTCCAGTGAGTACTTTCCCTTGCCACCTCGGGACCTTGCATGCACATTTCTTTGAGTGCTTAGTTTGCTTGGCCCCTCCTCTCTCCTAGGGTGCTGATGGTGCTGGGAGCAGGCCGGGGTCCGCTGGTGAACGCTTCCCTGCGGGCAGCCAAGCAAGCTGACCGGCGGATAAAGCTGTACGCCGTTGAGAAGAACCCAAACGCCGTGGTGACGTGAGTTGTAGGCAGCTGGTTGAGAGCCCCATCCCCGGGGCCAGTTTGACCTCAGCATCTCTCACCAGCTTCATCTTCATTTCAGGCTGGAGAACTGGCAGTTTGAAGAGTGGGGCAGCCAGGTGACCGTCGTCTCCTCGGACATGCGGGAGTGGGTAGCTCCGGAGAAGGCAGACATCATTGTCAGCGAGTTGCTAGGCTCCTTTGCTGACAATGAGCTCTCACCGGAGTGCCTGGATGGCGCCCAGAACTTTTTAAAAGGTGCCTCCAGGGTCTGGAATGGGAGGGGGTGGGTAGGGAAGGTGAGGGGGACTTGGCTCAGCTCACGTGTTGTGGAGATTCACTGCCTGGGGGGTCCTTGTCACCTGAACTCCTCTCTGTCAACCTCCGTGTTCATGTCTGCAGTGCGAGAGGACTAGAAGTTTATTTATTTGTTTACTTAAAAGGCAGAGTTACAGAGAGAAAGGGACAGATTCTATCTTCCATCTGCTGGTTCACTCTCCAAAGAGCAGCAATGATAGAGCTAGACCAGGTTGAAACTAGGAGCCTAGAACCTTATTGGGGTCTCCCAAGAGGGTGGCAGGAGCCCCAGTACTTGGGCCATGCTTCTCTGCCTTCCCAGGTACACTAGCAGGGAGCTGGATCGTAAGTAGAACAGCCAGGACTCAAACCAGTGCTTTTGGGCGTGCCAGCACTACAGGTGGCAGCTTAACCCATTGTGTCACCACACTATTTCCCGCCTTTGGTTTTAATCTTGTGTTATTCTATGTTCATCTAGAAGTAACATTCCCCCCCACCAAGATTTGGGGGCAGGGCAACCTGAAAATCCTGACAACATTGAGTGACTTCTTGCTGCCATCCCCATGCCAGGGGTAGTCTGGGTGGATGTGGGAGGCCTGAGGGAAATGACATACCTCATTTCCCTTCCTTGGGAATCTGACCCTCTTCTTGCTCTGGCAGATGATGGCGTGAGCATCCCCGGGGAGTACACCTCCTTTCTGGCTCCCATTTCCTCGTCCAAGCTGTACAATGAGGTTCGAGCCTGCCGGGAGAAGGACCGAGACCCTGAGGTGAGGAGCCCCGGTCTTTAGGAGGCGCCAAGAATTCATCTAGTCTCCCCATTCTGCACCAATAGCAACTCCTCCTGGAGAGGTGGAGGAGAGAGGTGGAGGAGCTGGAGAGGCAGAGATGGGACCCAGGGAGGCAGGAGAAATGGTGGCTCCATTTCTTCCAGGTTGTTGGGATTTTGAGTCTTTCCCTAAGGAAATGGGCATCTCTTGGCTGTCTCCCACAGCTCTCGCTCTCTCACTCTTTGTCTTTTACTCGGGACAGGCCCAGTTCGAGATGCCGTATGTAGTACGGCTGCACAACTTCCACCAGCTCTCTGCGCCACAGCCGTGTTTCACCTTCAGCCATCCCAACAGAGGTAGGTTCCTGCTGGACTGGCCTCTGTCCTCACCCCCACCCCACCCTTGCTATCCTCTCCACCTTCTATGGGCCCTTCCTGGGTCCAAGCTGCATCAAGTTGCCTGGGGCTTGTGGTCGCTCATCAGTCATGTGGTTGTGTCCTTGCAGATCCTATGATTGACAACAACCGCTACTGCACCTTGGAGTTTCCTGTGGAGGTGAACACAGTGCTGCATGGCTTCGCGGGCTACTTTGAGACGGTGCTTTATCAGGACATCACTCTGAGTGAGTGTCTTGAGCTACAGATGGCAGGATACGGCGGTACCTGGCCAGGCAGCCTGTCTCCTCTGGATTCCTGTGAATTCCAGGATTCAGTGAATGGAGCTCTTTGGGTATTTATTCCCATGACTACAAGGCATCCCCACTTGGCCTCTTCTAGGTCTCAGAACTGGGTATTTTATGTTTGTCCACACAGGTATCCGTCCAGAGACTCACTCTCCTGGAATGTTCTCTTGGTTTCCAATCCTCTTCCCTATTAAGGTAGGCATCACCTTGAGGGTTAAGGAGTGACTTTGCCAGTGGGGTTGTGTCCCTTTCCCTCGCCTTGGCCCGTGGCTGTGACCCATGCTCTGCTCTCACAAGCTCTCCGCTCCCACTGACAGGTGCTGCAACTGCCTGCAGTGGCCTGCCCCTACATCTGTCCTGGCTAATCTGCCCATTCTCTGCTTGGAGCAAGAGTCCTTTTTTATGTCTTTAAAAAAAAAAATTTCTTTTGCAAGAATCCTTTATTTCCTTTTTTTACATCCCTATTTCTCATCTTTCTAAAACTTCTTTCTAAAACTTTCTAAGCTTCAGTGCCTTCCCACATCCCTTAAGGAAGGTCCACATTGGGACCTGCTCAGCAGACTTGGTAGGACCCAGCTTGCCTTGCCTTCTCAGCAGTTGTCCTTTTGCTTCTGTAATCTTAGGCCGTCTGCTTCTTCCAGGTGCCTGTCTTCCTTCCCTTGTGTGTTCTCACCTCTTACCTATGCCTGGCTGGTTCTTTGCTCTTCTCTTCCTGCAGCTAATTTCTCTTCTAGGTCTCTTTAGACAATCTTATTACCAGATACGTTTGACTACCACTCATAGGTATTTTCTTGTTTGTTTTCTTTCTTTCTTCAAAGATTTCTTTATTTTAAGTAAGAGTCACAAAGATGGAGACGGTGGGGGAAAGCTCATCCATCCATTGGTCCACTGCCCAATGGCCACAATTGTCAGGGCTGGGCCAGGTACAAGCCAAGAGCCTGGAACTCTATTCTGGCTGGCAGGGGCTTGTGCACTTGGGTCATCTTCTGCCACCTTCTCTGGTATATTAATCAGTGGAGGGCTGAATTGGAAGCAGAACTGTGATCCAGGATGCCAGCATTGCAGGTGTGCAGGCTGAGCCCACTGTGCCATTACACCAGCCCTGCTAGTAGGTGTTTTCATGGGCATGTTCACAGCACTTTTTTTTTCACATGCTTTTAATGATTTGCCCAAGTTGCTTTGTTTTGATTTTGTTTTTAATTGGAAAGGTAGATTCACAGAGAGAAAGATAAAGATCTACCGTCCACCAGTTCACTCCCCAAACAGCGGCAACGGCCAGAGCTGAGCCAATCTGAAGCCAGGAGCCAGTTCTCCCATGTGGGTGCAGGGTCACAAGGCTTTGGGCCATCCTTGACTGCTTTCCCAGGCCACAAGCACGGAGCTGGATGGGAAATGGAGCAGCTGGGATTAGACCTGGTTCCCATATGGGGTCCTGGCGCATGCAGGGCAAGGATTCAGCCACTATTTTATCACAACAGCTCCCCCTTTTACAGATTTATATATATTTTTAATAGGAAAGGTAGATTTACAGAGAGAAGGAGAGACAGAGAGATCTTCTACTCCCCAAGTAGGTGCAATAGCTGGAGCTGAGCTGTTCTGAAGCCAGGAGCTTCTTCTGGATCTCCTACACGGGTGCAAGGTCCCAAGGTTTTAGACCACGTTCTGCTGCTTTCCTAGGCCACAAGGTGGTAGCTGAATGGGAAGTGGAGCAGCTGGGGCATGCATTGGTGCCCATATGGGATCCCAGGGCATGCAAGGTGAGAATTTAGCCACTCAGTCATCACACCTCACTCAGGTCTGTTCAGTATTCAGATCAGCTCCACTAGGGCTGGAACAGTCAGGCTTATCATTTTATCTCCACATCTCCCTTAATATGCTGTTCCATACAACAGTATGCTCCACACTGAATCTTCGTATCTCTCCTTACAGCAACCCATTACAGTGCGTGAAGGCCAGACCATCTGTGTGCGTTTCTGGCGATGCAGTAATTCCAAGAAGGTGTGGTATGAGTGGGCTGTGACAGCACCAGTTTGTTCTGCTATTCACAACCCTACTGGCCGCTCATACACCATCGGCCTCTAATGCGGTGGTTCAAGTGGCCAGAGCCTTGAATGCAGCTTCAGGGTGCGCTCTCGGAGCACGGGAAGTGCGGTCCATGTCTGGGCTGTGATTCCTCTCTCCCGTCAGCGAGGAGCACTTCCGTCTACTTGCCTGCCTTCCATCGAGGTGGGCAGAGGATAAACATTCACGGCAAGGAATGAGCCAGCAATCTGTGAAAGATCTCCTCCGCTCAGGACAGGAGCAAGTGACAGTGTGGGATCTGAAGCTGCGCCAGCAGGCACTGCGCCCTCAAACGCTGCGGGAGTGGCCCCGAGCACAGGTGGATCGAAAACTGCTCTGCCCCGCCCCTGCTCTCCTCTGTTGTTGTTTGATGGTTTTGTGTAAGAGGAAACACAAATAAAAATGAGGTTATGGCCCTTTTCTGCTTTAGTCTGCTGCTATCTGCTTCTGCTTTTTCACACCTGTGTAAGGTCCGGGCATATTCAGGTCTGTACCTTGCACTGTCAGGACCCTGGGAGCCTAGCTTTGTTCCCTCCTTGGGCATAGGCTTTTTAACTAGCTACAGTGAGCCCTCTTCCATTAGAATCTGTTGGTCAGGCTTTTCTCGGGGGAAGAGGCCTGCAGAGAGAAGCTAGCTTCCCTTCCACCTAACCGAGCACCCACAAGTCAAGTATGGGGTTTGTAAAATCAACAAAGAGTTTGGAATTCTAAGAGATTATCTAATTCAACCTCTTATATTACAGACAGGGACTATGAAATCTGCACGATCAAAGTAATGTTAGTCCGGCTCTCCAACCTTGCACATCGGCTCTGCGCGAGGCAGCCAAAGCATGCAAAGACCCCGGAAGCCTTGGGGATGCAAGGGTGGGCATTGATCCCTGCTTCCTGGTTAGCCCTTGCAGTGGGAGTCAGTGGCACACAAATTTGAATTAACTTTCTTTCTTAGATCCTCAAGCACTGAGATTGAGAGGGTGGTGGAAACGGTTCACCCAGGAACCGGTGGAGAGGTGGGCACCTCTGACGAAACAGGTGCAGTCTCCGCAAAGCTGCGCCAGGGAAGATGGACGGCCTGCCCGGGCCAATCAGTAGGGACAGCCAAGGACGTCCTCCACCTCCTGGCCCCGCCCTTCGCGAGCACCCAGGGTGGAGGAAGCGGGCCCTTAGCGCTCGCAGCTCTGCCGTTTCCCCGCCTTCCACGAGCCGTTGAGCCAATGAGCGGTGGCCGGAGGCTGCCAAAGGAGGCCTCACTTCGCCGGTCTCTGAGAGGTTGGCCAATCAACGGGAACCTGGCGGTTGCTAAGAGACACTTGCATTTGGCTCCACCCACCCACGGGGCTGTAGCCAATGAAAGCCCATACTTTGGACTGTTGCCGCGAAACCAGTGAAAAGGGTTTCCGCACTGTGGGACTTCCGCGCAGGCGCAGATTGGAGAAGGTTCTGGAAGACAGCGTCGCTGCCGCCATTTTGCGGGAAGAGGAGCAGCTGCGGCTGCAGCGGGGCTTTTACTGCCGAGACTAGAAAAGAACCGAGCTTCGCGCTCGTCAGCTCTCCCAAAGCAGCGAAGAGAACCCGGACCCATCCTTCAGGGACCCGGAACTGGTAAGACACCTCCAAGTCCTCTTCACCCCCCCCCGCGACGTCACCTCTGCGTGACGTGGGCGTTCGGCGCCTCCCCCTGACGTCAGGGGTAGAAATGGCGTCACGAGCAGAAATGAGCAAACTTTTAACAAAGTTTTGAGTGCTTTGTTAATTATGATTTGGAAGAGTTCCCTACCTGACTGTAGCCCGCTGGCACGGCACCGTCACGGCTGTCTGCCGTCCGCGGCCTCGGGGGTCGCCTGGTCTCAGACACCCAGGGGCGCTCCTGAGAGTGTAGGGGGCTGGGAAGCCTGGACCCGCCGCTGAGCGGGAAGCGCGTTGAGATGTCTGCCTCGGGACCCAGTCTCTTGAAGGCTGGCGCTCGCTGTGTTGGTCTGCATGGTTCACTTTTACCTAAGGGCGAGGCTCGCAGGAGGATTGACTGCTGGGACGTTGGTGCCGGTCGGTTACTTACAAGGACCGCATGGAGCCTTGGCCATTGGCCTTCTGCTTGTTCCTGTTCTTTAAGCCTCCTTTAATTCGGATGGGTTTGTGCTCAACCCCGTGACCAGAACCAGAACGGCGCTCCCACGTCTCCCTAGGATTCCAGCGAATTCATCATTCTCCTCTGTTCCTTCAACAGTGGGGTCTTTACCCTGCTGTGTAACAAGATCCAGGCCCCGCCATGACTGTGAGCCTTGAGTGCAGTTTTTGGAGGTGGGATGGAAGAAAATACTGATTTTCTTTTTTAATGGAATTGAATGACTTTTACCCATCCATAAGTTAGGATATAGAATTGGGAAACTTTTGGCACTTCATTGGTTTGGGGACATCTTGACATATAATCCTCACGAGATTGCCAACTTTGAAAGTATAGCGTACTTATGTCATCACTTAATGTTGAACAAAAGGATGTCTTCTGAACAATGTGGTGGTGAACATGTGGACTGTTGCTTACACAAATGAGGGCAGCTGCAGTGTCACCCAGAGGGACCATGCTTGTATCTGCATGGTTCATTGGTGACAAGAATTGTTAAAACACCATGATGCTATACTAAGCCTACGCTTAAGTAGGTTCCTTCATTTGAGTGAAAACTTCAAAAACTTTCCTCATAGTGGATTGCCTAATGAAAGTACTTGTGCATGTATTGGAACCTCTGCCTTGCCCTTAACATTCAACCGTGAACAGAACGTGAGGTTAGAAGCATGTAATTGGCAAGGAAAAAGCATGTTATAGAAAATAGAATAGTCAGGGTAGACAAAGTGGTTGCAATTAACAGTTTGAGAATGAAAAACATGTGTCTTCAGAGCCATTTTCCCAAAGTGGAGCATATATTTGCATATTGCAGTTACTCTAGTTCCTAGTATTTTTTCTTTTTCTTTTTTTTTTTTAAGATTTATTTTTTTATCACAAAGTCAGATATACAGAGAGGAGGAAAACAGAGGAAGTGCTTCCGTCCGTTGATTCACTCTCCAAGTGAGCACAACGACTGGTGCTGTACCGATCAGAAGCCAGGAGCCAGGGGAGCCAAAGACCTCCTCCAGGTCTCCCACATGCGTGCAAGATCCTAAGGCTTTGGGCTGTCCTTGACTGCTTTCCCAGGACACACACAGGGAGCTGGATGGGAAGCAGGGCTGCTGGGATTAGAACCGGTGCCCATATGGGATCCTGGCATGGTCAAAGTGGGGACTTTAGCTGCTAGGCCACCTCACCAGGCCCCTAATATTTTTTCAAAACATGTACTTATTTGTTTGAAAAATAACAGAGAAGGAGAAATTTTCCTTATGTTGGTTCATTCCTGAAAGGCTGTTACAGCAAGAGCCAGGCCAGGCCAAAAGCAGGAGCCAGGTCTCCCATGGGGATGGCATGAACTTTTCAAACTGTCCTCTGCCACTCATCAGGCATCTTAGCAGGAAGCTAGGTTGGAACTGAAGTAGCCAGGAGACAAACCAACGCTCATGTGGATTTGCTGGTGTCACGAGGTAGAGGAGTAGCTTGCTGTGCTAATATGCCAATCTCTACACTTGGGAGTCTTAAGATCTCTCTGATCAAGTTAGTCCCAGGACTTTGACACAATGGCTCAGTTGGCCAATCCACCCCTTCAAGTGCAGAGATTGTTATGGCAGCTGGTTCATGTCCCAGCTGCTCCACTTCCTATTCAGCTCACTGCTTGTGGCCTGGGAAATCAGCGGAGGTGGGGGATGGCACAAAACCTTGGATCCCTGTACTCACGTGGTTACATGTAGCCTCATGGCTTTAGAAAATCTCAACTTTGGCTGTTTTGGCCACTTGGGGAGTGAACCAGCAGATAGAGAATCTGTATCTCTGTAAATCTACATTTCCTATAAAAATGAATAAATCTGGGCCTGATGCGGTAGCCTAGTGGCTAAAGTCCTCACCTTGGATGTGCTGGAATCCCGTTTGGGCACCAGTTTGTATCCTGGCTGCTCCACTACTTCCCATCCAGGTCCCTGTTTGTGGCCTGGGAAAAGCAGTCAAGGATGGCCCAAAGCCTTGGGACTCTGCACCTGTGTGGAAGACCTGGAAGAGGCTCCTGACTCCGGGCTTCAGATCGGATTGTCTCAGCTCCAGCTGTTGCGCCTACTTGAGGAGTGAATCAACTGCAGGTGGAAGATTTTCCTCTCTGCCTCTCCACCTCTCTGCATATCTGACTTTCCAATAAAAATAAAATAAATTTTTTTAAAGGATTTATTTGTGAGGCAGTTATAGAGATAGAAGGTGATCTTCTGTCTACTGGTTCACTCCCCAGTGGCTACAATGACTAGATCAGGGCTGGGCCAGGTGGAAACTGGGAGTCAGAAGCTTCATCTCTCTCCTACGTGGGTGACAATGAGCCAGCTACTTTCCTAGGCACAATAATAGGGTGCTGGATTGAAAATGGAGTAACTGGGACTTAAACTGGTGCCCAGATAGGGTGCTCACGTCACAGACACAGTATAACCTGCCACCCTGCAATACTGTCCCCTGGAGATATTTTTTTATATTGGAATTTTTCAGGTGTTTTTCCCCACAACACAATTAAGGTGTGTACATTGGCATATGATAAGAATGAGCTTCTTAACCTGTCTGGTTTAATTTGTTTTGATGTGTATAAACACCCAAGAAACTCATCACTCTCAAAGATTATTTTATGCCTCCTCCCACTTTTTAATCCTTTTTTTCCAGCCCTTCCCCACCTATCTTATCCCTTGGCAACTACTGATTTGTTTTCTGTGATCAAAGATTTGTATTTTTTTAGGATTTTATTTAAATTTTTATGTTTTTTGGTCTGGTTGCATGGTGGCTTTGAAATTTGCGCATATTATGTGTACTGACAATTCTGGGTGAATGAGCTTTTAATATTGTATTGGTTTAGTTCGTTGCCTTCTGTCCTCTTGTTTTTCATACTTGACAGACCTGTGGTAGACAGTTGTTAGGTGTGAAGGGTGGGAGAAGGCAAGAATGCACTCTGCTTGCCAGAAAGAAGGACTTCAGAGCAGAACTGGCTAAGCCCACCTGAATTCACGTGTTTGAGTTACCTAAATTCTAGTTGCTATTGAACAGAAGACCCTGGAGACGAGGCTCTGCTGCTTGGTGTGTGAGATCTGTGGGAGGAGCCTGGGGCATTTTGGCATCATTCTGGCATTGGCCTTGTCTTGCTTATGATTTTTTAGCCCTATTTACCTTTGTACTGGAAATAGTTATGATTTCAGTTTAAAGCAGTTATTCAGAATTCTGAATGGTAGAATGGAGACCTTGGTCTGTTGGTGTTGGAAGTGAATAGTACCTTTGAGGACTGACATGTTCTCTTCACAGGGCAGGATTGATTGGATTTTGTCTCTATTTAGGTTTCAAATGTCCTTCTAGACCTTTGACTGTTTGTAAGGTGCAAAACAGAGCTAGTTTAGATCTGTAAGGTGCGTAGATAAACATAAGATAAGTGGTAGCCAGTAAGATCCCTTTGGTGTTTGATAAAAACTGTGTATCCTGAAGCCTGTTTGTTGGAGGGGGAAGGGAATATGTGGTGCTGGAAGGGGAGGAAAATATAAATCAGCTTCTTATGTATCCGTATCCTCTCCTCAGATCTGACACGATGGCGTCTGATGACTTTGATATAGTGATTGAGGCCATGCTGGAAGCGCCCTATAAAAAAGAGGAGGTAATATCCCCCACCTTACTCCTGGAATTGGGTTAAGAGAAAGGGCAGCTGTGCATCATCATTTGCAATAGTTTGTGACTCCTCCTTCCCTGCCTGTTTATTTTGTTCAGTGATTATGCATAAAAGGCATAGTCTTAGGAAGCTTTACTGGGGACCCACAGTTGGGGGCCACACTCTTAGAGAAGGCCCCAGAAAATGGGGGAGGGTGCGTAATTCGGTGGTGGTCATATGTGCTTTGCTCACAGCTCTCGGTGACACGAGAAAATTGGTGGACCTCAGACCCAGCGCCCATGTTTCACTCTCCTTGGAGATAATGTCAGCGGACAGATGTTAGGTAGCTGAAGTTTGACACCAAACAAAGCTGCCGTTCTGATGTCTTCTTGTTGGGTAGTTTCCTCGTTTCCACTGTTACTCCCTTTGTTAGGAGACTCAGACGGTCAACACCTGGCTAGATGATCGAGAGCTTTGATTTCTTCCTTGTCCACCTTTGTTCTTTTTGCCCAATGGAATCTGTGTGTCTTGTGACCTTTTCCTGGCGAACTCCTCAGGATGAGCAGCAAAGGAAAGAGGTTAAAAAGGACAGTCCTAGCAATACCACCATCAGCACCGGCACCAGTGGCAGTGGTACCAGTGGGAGCACCACCACTGGGGAGACGAGCAAGTGAGTGTGGGGGGAAGACATGGGTTGGCCCCCGTGGGAAAGGGAAACAACTGCGTCTTTTGGAGAACAGGGAAGCAGTTGCTCTTAAACCTGCTGGCTTTTAGTAACGGCGCCACTGAGTCATGGGAGTAGTGGTAATTTGGTTACATGATCTTCTAGTCTTCATTTTGCAGCACAGACTAGCGGACAGATCCTAGCATTGGTATGTTTCGTTTGAATTAGTAAGAGGGCCCCTGATTTGGGAACATGAGCTTTGATGTGGCTTTAGGGGGATTTCAGCCACCTGAGATACCCGACAGCATCGAGGGCTGTGTGTAAGTTGGTGATGTGTAGTCGCTGTGAACTACTGCCAGATGGTCTTCTGGGCTGCGGTCTTTTGGTGCTCTCTGTTTCACCCTGGCCTTACTCTCCGTTTCCTTGGGAGAGAGAACAAAACCTCCTCAGTAGTACAAATTTCCCCTCTCTTTTCACAGAAGGAAGAGAAGTCGGAGCCGTAGCAGAAGCAGGGATAGAAAGCGCAGGTTAGTGTTGCAGGGCACCGTTGGGCTTGAGGAGTTGCTAAAATGGCAGGGAAGTCATTATGTGAAAGACCGAAAGAGGTTGTTTCATGTGTAGTCGCAGCCGAGACCGGGACCGGCATAGAAGGAGAAATAGTCGGAGCCGAAGCCGAGATCGCCAGCATCGTCACCGTAGCCGTAGCAGGGACCGTCGGCACAGTAGTGAGTCACGAAGTCGCGACCGGCGTCGTGAGGATCGTGTGCGCTATAGGAGTTCTCCACTTGCTGCTGGGTATCACCTTTTGCTAATAAGATCACCTTTGTGTCCTAATCTGGCTAAAGCAAGTGCACTGTGGAGCCAGTTCCGAGAATACTTAAAACCCATGATGACGAGCGGATGCTGTCACTGAGGGAAAGCACAGGTTGAGTATCCCTCATTTCAGCAGGAGAGCAGAAGTGCTTCCAGTTCTGGGTGTTCTCAGATTTGGGGATGTTTGCATCTGTGTAATGAGGTACTTGGGGAAAACAAAACTTGTTTATATTTCATACCTTAGACCCACCACTTGGAGTTGATCTTATCATGGGGATTTTTACTTTTAAGATTGATTTATTTGAAAGCAAGGGGACAGAAGGCGAGACAGGGATCTTCTATCCTCTGTTTCACTTGCCCATCTGTTAGAATTTATAAGAACAATTATTATGGGGGACCAGGATGGTGGCTCACAGGGTAATCCTTCACCTGCAGTGCTGACATCCCAGGTGGGCGCTGATTCAGGTCCTGGCTGCTCCACTTCTGATCCAGCTCCCTGCTTAATGGCCACGGAAAATAGTGGAGGATAGCTAAAGTCCTTGCCACCCTTGTGCCCTCTTAGGAGACCCAGAAGAAGTTTCCTGGCTCCTGGGCATTGTGGCCATTTGGTGATTGAACCAGCAGATGGAAGATTTATGTCTCTGTCTCTCCTTCTGTCTGTCTGCCTTTCAGATAAAAATAAACCAATCTTTAAAAAATTATGTACAGTGAGGTATTAGAATCTGTTTTTGTGTGTGTGTGAAGAAAAAGTTGATGTTGAAGCAAAGTGAATAATTTGCTTTTTTTTTCCCCCCTATTCCTTAGGCCTAGATATGGACAGAATAAGAGTCCTCATGTCAGAGAGAAGAGCCCGGTCAGGTTAGTAAATAATGAACAGAGTTTTCAGGAATAAGTTATTAATAATAAAAAATGAGTAAAGGCAGACCACAAGAATGTTGCGGGTTATCTGCAGGGCAGGAACCACACTGCGGGTGGCAGTGGTCTCAACACATTTTGCTCTGCAGGCAGCCAGTGGATAACCTGAGCCCTGAGGAGCGTGATGCCCGTACAGTTCTCTGCATGCAGCTGGCTGCCCGCATTCGGCCTCGAGACCTGGAGGAGTTTTTCTCTGCCGTTGGCAAGGTAGCCCTCTCTCCTGAGGGGCCTCTCTCCCATCTTGTCTTCCCTTAATGCCCAGCTTGGGATCCTTTGTGCCCGGGATAGGTTCGTGACGTGCGGATCATCTCAGATCGGAACTCACGTCGTTCAAAGGGCATTGCCTACGTGGAATTCTGTGACATCCAGGCTGTGCCACTGGCCATTGGACTAACTGGGCAACGGCTCCTGGGAGTTCCTATTGTGGTCCAGGCCTCACAGGTGGGCAGGCTGAGAAACTGACATGGTGTAAGGTGATAAAGTTGAGAAGGAAGCTGGGGCATCACCCATCATCTTCCCTCTCCCCAGGCTGAGAAAAATCGACTGGCAGCTGCAGCCAACAGCCTGCAGAAGGGTGGTGGTGGACCAATACGCCTCTATGTGGGCTCCCTGCACTGCAATATCACTGAGGACATGCTCCGAGGCATCTTTGAGCCCTTTGGCAAAGTGAGTAGAGCATCAGGGAAGCCTGCAAGAAAACAGAAAAAGGGAGGGTCACTGTACCTCTCGGTTCCCTGTGGCTGTAATGAACCCACTCCATAAATCACAACGCCTTGACAGCTGAACTCCATTTCTGTTTAAACTGTTTCATAGACAAGTGCAGGCACCCTGATACACAGCGTGGGTGCCCCAAGAGTGTCTTAGTTGCTGTGCCAAGTGCTTACTGTTTTTCTTAAGAATTAAGTTAGAGGGGCCCGGCACCGTGGCCTAGTGGCTGAGGTCCTCGCCTTGAACGCGCCGGGATCCCGTGTGGCCTCCAGTTCTAATCCCGGCAACACCACTTCCCATCCAACTCCCTGCTTGTGTCCTGGGAAAGCAGTCAAGGATGGCCCAAAGCCTTGGGACCCTGCACTCATGTGGGAGACCTGGAGGCGGTTCCTGGCTCCTGGCTTCGGGTCAGTGCAGCACCAGCCATTGCGGTCACTTGGGGAGTGAACCATCGAATGGAAGCAATTCCTCTCTGTTTTTCCTCTTCTTTGTATATCTGACTTTGTAATTAAAATGAATACATCTTAAAAAAAAAAGAAAAGAAAAAGATTTAGAGAAAGAACTTCCATCCATCGGCTGGTTCACTCCCCAACTGGCCACAACCATTGGAACTCAACCAGGTTGAATCTAAGAGCCTGTGTGGGTAACAGGGACGCAAAGTACTCGGGCCATCTCCCTCTGCTTTCTCGAGTGCAAAAGCAGGTAGCTGAATCAGGTGGAGCAGGCAGGACTTGAACCCGCACTCATCATAGGCAGCAGTACAGCCCACTGCACCAGAGCGTGGCATCTGTTTCTTTTTTAATGGAAGGGTTTTTGTTTTATTTTGTATAAGATTCATTTATTTTTATTGGAAAGTCAGACTTACAGAAAGAGAGACAGAAAAATCATCCATTTCTAGTTTTACTTTCCAAGCGGCCACAACATCCAGAGCTGAGCCTACACCAAGCCAAGAGCCAGGAGCTTCCTCCGGGTCTGCCACACGGATGCAGGGTCCCAAGGCCTTGAGCCGTCCGCAACTGCTTTCCCAGGCCACAAGCAGGGAGCTAGAAGAGAAGTGGGGTAGTCAGGGTACAAACCGGCACCCAAATGGGATCCTAGTGCATGCAAGGCAAGGACTTTAGCCGCTAGGCTACCAAGCGGGGCCCCACCTGTTTCCTTTTAAAAGATTTGGAGAGGTGTAGAAAGTTAGACTTGTTCAGAGTATCCTAAAAGTATAAAATTGTTTAGACTGGAAAGAGTTGTTTAGAATGTTCTGGGTATAAAAGATCATAATAATTCCTTTCTGTTCTGCCACAGATCGATAATATTGTTCTGATGAAGGAGTCAGATACAGGCCGATCTAAAGGTTATGGTTTCATTACAGTGAGTATCTAATCTTTGTCATTTTTCTTTGAGTTTGTCCACTTGGCTAAATTTGCAGCTTAGATTCATCCTCCTATAGGAACTGTTCAAGTGACTTAAACCCTGGTGCCTGGAGCTTGGACAAGCCTTCTGCTCCTTGAGATGAGTGCATTGCTTGAGACTTTGGCTTTGCTTCGACCTCTGTCAGTAGCCTTGATATGGGGGTACCCAGGAGTTCAACCAGCTTCCCTGGTGCTACAACTTGCTGCTTGGGTAATAGTAATTATTTTAGGCTGCAGCCGAAAGGGTGGGGGCATGAGGGAAGTAGGTGTGGGCGTGTTTTAATGAGTTGTTGTGTTCTGATTGGGGTGGGAGTCGGATGTTATACTTCACCTTGGCACTGTCTCACATTAAGAAAGATCTTTATATCAAAAATGGCACTGTAGAGAGAATAGTGAGACCCTCTGTAGCACCAGCAGCACACTTTCTGAGCATTGCAACAAAGTTGTTTCCAGTGCTGGACCTGGTGCTTCCATGTGACTGCTCTGACTCTAGGCATCATACACACCCCCACAGCTAGCCACAGGGCAGGGGGTGGCAAGGTGCATTTGAAGTATGCAGTGAAGGCAAGGCTCCTGCGTCACCCAGCACCACATGATAAGCCCTAGGGCAGGTAGTGCCACAGTAAATAAAGCCAGCTGGGGGGGGGGGGTGACATTTTTGTAGTGGCAAGTCACCATTTCTGCCATTCAGTGTGACTGAGATGCGGAAAGGCTTCTTTTAGGTCAGCATCCTTGACACTTTTACAGAACCTGAAAATCCTCTGTCCCAGGGAGCTGTTGGTGCTGCTGCTGATAGGGGCCAGATCCTAGAGGCCACTGGTGGGCTGTGGGTGTGCAGTGCTCTCCTGCACTCAGCACCAGGACCTGTTCCCTCCTCAACCTGTGCTCTGGAGTTCCAGGTTCCTACTGCGCCTAGAACCCAGCACCTTCAGCTCCCAAAATGTCAGGCTGGGTTTCCTATAGATAATGGACTTTCTGAGTTACTAGATTCTTAGTGGAGCAGAGATTACCAAATGGTCCAATTGAGAGAACCATTTTGGCACAGTGAGGGTCTTAGGTCACATTTCCTGGGAAAGAACAGTTTGTGTCACAGCAAGCATGCATCTTTCCTGGGAAAGGATTAGTGTATCTCATCTTTGAGATGGTGTCTGGCCACGAAGTGACTGACAGGGCCTGGTTTCTCGTAGTTCTCAGATTCCGAATGTGGCCGACGGGCCCTGGAACAGTTGAATGGCTTTGAGCTTGCTGGTCGACCTATGAGGGTTGGCCATGTGACAGAGCGACCAGATGGCACCACAGATATCACTTTTCCTGATGGAGACCAGGAACTGGATCTGGGTTCATCAGGTGGACGTTTGCAGCTCATGGCCAAACTAGCAGAAGGTACGGTCTCTTATAGGGTAAAGAACACAGGTTTGAATTTTACTTTTTTTTTCTATTATTATTATTATTATTATTTTTAAGATTGTTTTATTTTTATTGGAAAGTCAGATATACAGAGGGGAGGAGAGACAGAGAGGAAGATCTTCTGCCCGATGATTCACTCCCCAGCAGCCGAAATGGCTGAAGCTGAGCCAATCCATAGCCAGGAGCCAGGAGCTTCTTCCGGGTCTCCCACGCGGGTGCAGGGTCCCAAAGCTTTGGGCCATCCTTGACTGCTTTCCCAGGCCACAAGCAGGGAGCTGGATGGGAAGCGGGGCTGCCAGGGTTAGAACTGGCACCCATATGGGATCCCGGGCTTGCAAGGCAAGGACCTTAACCACTATGCTTTTGCGTCGGGCCCCTAGATTTGAATTTTAGATCAAGGATTTGGACTTAACCTCACCTTTTCTTCTTTTAGGTGCTGGACTCCAACTGCCAACCCCAGCGGCTGCTGCTGCTGCCGCCCAAGCTGCTGCCTTGCAGCTGAATGGAGCAGTCCCCCTGGGAACCCTGAACCCGGCGGCTCTGACTGGTACACATAGACCTGGGGAAGTGAGAGAGGGTTAGGGCCAGGAAGCTGGATGCTCTGGGCTCACTCACCCTCTCTTCCTCTTTCTGTAGCTTTGAGTCCAGCTCTGAACCTTGCTTCCCAGGCCATCGCCTCCCAGTGCTTACAGCTCTCAAGCCTCTTCACCCCACAGACCATGTGAGTCTCAGGACCCATCTCCTTTGAGTCTTGGTTTATTCTTGTTCTTGTCTTTGCCATTTACCTCTGCTCCTTGTCCCAGGTAAATCTGGCGCAGTAAACTGCCTGCCTGTGTCTGGATCCTGCCGGTCTCTTCTCCTCGTCTGGTTTTCCACTGCCCCATCTCTGTTTTGTGGACCATGCCATCCCAAAGATCTGGATGTCGACTCTGGAAAAGTCGGGACCACCCTTTGACATCAAGAAGAGCTCTTGCCCGTGGCCCCACTGGGAGTGGACTCTTCTGAGCGAAGCCCCCAGTTAAAGAGAACAGAATCTGCCCCTGCTTTGAAGCCCTGTTCCTCCATGGATATCCTCTCCCGAGATGACCTTCCTGCCTCCCAACACCCTCTTAGTGATTCCTTCATTCCTCCTGCATTGGGAAAGCCATAGGGCATTAATTGAAGGGACTCAACTCCTTTTCTTCTGCTTTACCTTATAACCTGTCATGGAAATCCCTTAGGATCCTTTCAGTCAAGAGGATTTGGGGTTTGGGGAGGGAACCTTGAAGATGCTAATTTTGTGCTACTAGGTCCCTGGAAGATAGCCTGGACATGCGCTTTGGAAAGCCTGCCTTAAACCTCAGCTTGCTGCAGCTGGAGGCCAGAGCCCATCCAGGCTCAGCTGAGAGGCATGGAAGAGGTCAGTCCTGGCAGGCAGTTAACATGCCTTAAGGGTTCCCTCTCGCTTCAGTAAAAGGTGGGCTACCTTTCCAGTCATTCTGTCTTCCTGTGTGTACTTGGCCTCCTTCCCAGGCCCTCCCTTTGGCCTAGGGTGGGACAGTGGAGGAGAGGCTGCTCTCTACTGCTGTTGTGTGACTCTACTGTGGCCTCAGCCCTGGTGGTTAGAGCTGCTCTGTCCCTTAATCAGACACATTTGAGCCCTTCTCACTGGATTTTATAGCCCGTGTCTGTGTACAGAAGTATATATACATACACGTATATAAACTTGGTACAAGAGGCAAGCCCTCTTGTGACTGCTGCCCATGTGTGGTCTCTAAAGTCACTCGGTGTCTCATGTTACTCCTAGGCATATAAAACATTTGTGATGTGATTGAGTTTCCTTTATTTTTGTTTTGTTTTATCTTCCTTAGAAAAAAGTCTCGTACCTGGGCAGGCTTCCCAACAGGTGTCTGCATTACACTGCATCCCATGACCTCCATCTTAGTTCATCTCCATACCTGCCTGTCCACTGGACAGACTTTGGAGCTCTTGACTAGGGACAGATCTTGTCTTTCCACCAGATGGCACTGTGGCAGTGCCACATTCTGCATCTCCTAGGGGTGTGTTTTGTGATCTTGAGTCTTAGTCTCCTAAGCTTGCCATTCTATCCTGTTGGTCTTGGTCTTTGTACCTGCCATTGACTCTTTGTTGTAGATGCTGTTGTCCAGTGTCCAGAAGAGTTGCGATGTTATACATCAGGGCTCCTCGGCCTAACGTTCCATTCTTGATCAGTTGCCTCAGTTCTCAAGTTTCCCCGAGTTCTGCCTGTTATAACCAGTGAATCCCAGGAAAGTGAATCTTCAAGGAATAGAGAGACACCTTCTGCAGGCTTTCTTGTGTAACAAGGGGTGGGGCAGGACCTGGCTTATCACCCTGGGAGCCATCCAGAGAAGCAAAGGCCTGAATTCAAGGGCAAGGCTGTATGGGGAGCTTCTATTTGTTACTGAGCTCCATAGCAACAGAATGTTAAGATTTTATTATGCTAAAAATATGGGTAATTGCTGTTAGGTTTTAATTTGTCAGCTCTCAGACTTCTAAGCAGATGATAGCTTTGCGGTGGTGTCAGCCTGTAGGGTTGCCTTTTACACTAAAGCATAAAGTGCCAGAGGACTGCTTACATCGTGAAAGGCCACAGGGACTCTGCTGGCTTCTGACTTGTGCAGGCCACAGTCTCACCTGCTGCTGATGTGCTCCTGCCCCAGCCCTTCCTGGTCTTATTGAATCTGTTCTCTGAACTTGGGGGAAGGAGAGTCTGATGTACTATTTTTAGGTAGGAGCTGCTGGCTGTGACCCAGTTCCCCTACAGTTATTGATTTGGCTGCTAATGCATCTTGAGAAGGGATTGTTTCTGTTAATCATGCTGAGGCCATGAGCTGAACCTCCTCATATCTGCTGTGGACTTGTCCACACTGTTATAAATACCCCCCCCCCCCAGGCTTTGCCTCTCCACCTTTCTGAGAAGACCCTGATCTGTGCTGGGTTCTTCGCATTCCCAAGCCACCTTGCACTTTAGCCATTCTATCTCAGTTCTTCCTTACTGCCTGTTTGTTTGTTTGTTTGTTTTTTAGGATTTATTTATTTTTATTGCAAAGTTAGATATACAGAGAGAAAGATCTTCCATCCGTTGATTCACTCCCCAAGCAGCTGCAACGGCCGATGCTGCGCCTATCCAAAACCAGGAGCCAGGAGTCTTTTCTAGGTTTCCCCTGCGAGTGCAGGGTCTCAAGTCTTTGGGCCATCCTCGACTGCTTTCCCAGGCCACAAGCAGGGAGCTGGATGGGAAGTGGGGCTGCTGGGATTAGAACTGGTGCCCATATGGGATCCTGGCATGTGCAAGGTGAGGACTTTAGCCACTAGGCTATCATGCTGGACAGTGCTGCCTGTTCTTACTGCTCGCTGCAACCTCTTGCTGGGAGGGAGACTGTAATGGAAGTAAGGAAGCATCTAAGACAGCGTCTGCTATACTCTTGCCCCATATAAGGTGACAGTGCCTAGTGGGTGACAGCTATTGTCGTGTGTGTGATTCAGTGCCTCCTTATTACTCATCTCTCCTGAGGGGGGTGGTTAGAGTGGAGAGAAGGGGGCAGTGAACAGCCTCTGGGGCCAGTTTAAGGTAAAAGAGACCTCCTCCCCTGCGTTAAGCTTTCCCAGCAGAGTATGAAGGCTAAGGGCAGGATAGAGGGGGAGACGGAGATCCAGATTGTATCCCCACAGAGTTAGAATTTCTCCACCAGTCGCCAATTCTAAATAAGATTTCCACCTGGCCTGGCTTCGCACCTCTGTTCCAGTTTTCAGGCTGGCAGCATTTCTTCTCTTGTAGTTGCTGTGTTCTTGACATGGAGATTTAACCTCCTTCCTTCTCAGACATCAACAACTTAGAGATGTGAGCCGCAGCAGCATCAGGACTATGACCTGTGTACGTATATATAATCCTGGTGCTTAAGACAGAGTCTGGTGAGAATCAGAGAGCTGTGCTTGGGTAGTGAAAGGCACTAATGGCTCTAAAAAATGAAGATTAGGAGGTGAAAATAATCATTGGTTCAGGATTTGTGCAGTTCAGGCAGCATTGTAATTGCTTTATAACCACCATCTAAAGCAGACTTTTATTTTCTTGATTTTGTAAATAAGGAAGTTGATATCCACAATATTAAATAACTTGTCCCTCAATTACACCGTGAGCAAGTTTAGATTTTCAGTCCAAGTAGTCTGGCTTCAGACCCCTCAACCTTAAGCTTCCCTGCCTTTCAGGCTCTCAGTGGAAACTAGGACTTGGCAGTTATTAGGGGGAAGTGTCATTGTGCCTCCCCTCCTTTTTTTTTTTTTTTCTAGGAAGTCTGATTTACAGAGAGAAAAAGTCTTCCTTCCATTGATTCACTCCTCAGGTGGCCACAGTGGCCGGAGCTGAGCTGATCCAAATCGAGGAGCCAGGAGCTGCTTCTGGGTCTCCCACATGGGCGCAGGGTCCCAAGGCTTTTGGCTATACACCAAGGCTTTCCCAGGACACAAACTAGAGCCCATATGGGATCCTGGCAGGTGCAAGGCAAGGAATTAACCACTAGGTTATCACATGGGCCTCATGTCACTTATCACTATATCCATTGCACTGTGCAGAACCTGAATCTTTCCAATCCCATGTCTTCATTAATCTCTTCCTTCTCCCCTTTTGCTGATCAAAATCCTAAGACCTGGAAGTGTTCCTAGTTGGAGTTAATCTCCCTCTTAGGTATTTTTTGTCCCGTTGGGCATCATCTTCTGCCTCTACCGTCGCTACGTGGCTACGGCCTTAGGAGCCTCACCGTAGAAGTCTTTCGCGTTATTGCTCTGTTGTGCACATGTAAAATTTTAGGTTAATTTCCCCTCTCCAAGTCAGATTCCCAAAGGCTCCCTGCTAAACTTCCTTCCCCTGCAGCTTCATCCATTTCTTCCTCACTCCTAGGACAGAGGAAGCAGTGTTACTCTTTTTGGTGTTTCCATGGTAGCCTGTGAGACTTTAGATAAAGTGTGGCTTGCCATCCACCAGAGACTGATGTTTCCATGGTAACCAGGTGAAGGCGCTTGTCATGAGCTGGATGCAGGAAAGGAGTTTCTGAAATGCTTTATGACTAAATCTTGTAGCTTCAGACATGTCTTCTCCCTCCTCCCTTTTACACTCTATCTCCAGAACTAGTTTGCTCTGAGTGTTGAGAGAGCTCTGTGGCTGTGAGGTGAAGTGGACCAACTGATTGAAATGACTTGGAAAGATCCCTTGGCAAAAAAAAACATGCTGACCACAGGTCACTGTAAGGGTGCAGGCTTTGTGATGCAGCTGTTCCACTTCTGATCCTGGGGTGGCCCAAGTGCTTAGGCCCCTGCCACCTTGTGGGAGACCCAGATGGACCTCAGGCCCATGGCTTTGGCCTTGCTGATTCCTGGCTTTGTGGGCAGTGGGAGAGTAAACCAGCAGATAGAAGATGTCTCTCTTTTGCATTTCAAATACATAAATAAGTAATGTATATTTATATATACATACACACATTTTTAAAAACCACTTTAAGAAGCTGGAAAAGTATTTTGTATTAGCTGTTCCAGATGATCTGCTCTCAAGAGCGCTTGAGGAGCTGGCTGGAGTTACTGGAGAGCCATTAAGCAGTTATTTTTGAGAGCAATGGGTAGATGGATGAGGTGCCTCAAGACTGGAAAGGAGCCAGTCAGTGTTGGTTCATAGGAAGGAGAAACAATGACCTTGGAAACCAGACACTTGTCAGACTATTAACACTAGGCAAGGAAGAATGGGAGCTAAAGTTAGCATTCAAACATCAGGAAGCCTGCTTGTTTAGAATGAGTGATGCTAAGAATTGGCTGGGCACAAGAAAGCTGAGGGCGGGGGCTGTGGTTCAGGTTAATCTTCACCTGCAGTACCAGCATCCCATATCGTGCCTGTTCGAATGCCAGCTGCTCTACTTCCAATCCAACTCCCTGCTAACAGCCTGGGATGGCCTAACGCCTTGGGCTCCTGCAGCAGTGTGGGAAACCCAGAAGCTTCTGGCTCCTGGTTTTGGACTTGCTTGGCTCATTTGAGGAATAAGCCAGTGGATGTAAGATATCTGTCTCTCCTCTCTGTAATTCTGCCTTTCAAATGAAAATAAATATTTTCTTTAAAAATCCATATCTCCTCTGCCCTGTAGCAGAATGGTCACTTTGGAGCAACCCTGGCTCCAAAATCAGAGCCTGGATGGTTCTGATTTTCACAAACAAGCTGAATAACCTTTAGCGCTTCTCTGACTCATACCCTTCATCTATAAAAAGGAAATGATCATAGTACCTAGCTCATAGCACTGCTGTGAGGACTAAATAAGATGATAAGTGTGAAGGGCTTGGACCTGTTAGCTTGTTGCTGTCATCATCACCATCCCCATTCCTCTAAATGCCTCATCACTTGATTTCCAGCCTGACCTCTCCTTCTCAGCTTCAGAGAATACTCAAGGTTTAGAGAAAGGAAAACAAGGATGAAACATCGGTGGAAAAGAGCCCAGTTGTTCCTAGGCTAAAGTCCTAGTCTCATATGAGATCCTGTATCACATCCATCCAGCCCAGTGTCCAGGGAAGTTAATCCCACTACCCCAGTTTTTGTCCCCAACTGTCCATATAGTCAAGAGCATAACCAAATAGTTTTGAAAACAAGTGAATCCCTGAGTCCATGCCAGATAGCTTCAAGGTGCCTGGTGGGAAGAGAACATCCCAGAGCCACTGCCTGTTGGTAGCACTGTGCTTCATGTCCTCCTGATCCCCCGCCCCTGTCCCCAGCATTCCTAAAGTACCTGCCTCCTGAATAAGTATTTTGAATAAGCACAGATAGCCTGCTTGAAGACAAGTGATGAGTTTAGCAACAAAGTAAAAAATTATACAGTACAATATAGTATCCATTTGGGCTTCAGTTGGCATTACCTCCCCCACCCCTGCCCCAAACACTGGCTAGACAAACTGATAATGAGTGATCCCTGAGGCCGAGCATGTTGCACCTTGTGGACCATAACTTGTATTTCCAGGAAAAGGGATTTTGGTGCAGTAATGAGGGTGCTGCTTGGGACTCCTGCATCCACATCAGAGTGGCTGCATTTGTGTTCCAGCTCTATTCCCAGTGCCAGCTTCCTACTGATAGGCACCCTCGGGCAGCAGGTGATAGCTCAAGCAGTTGGGTCCCTGCCAGGCCTGGATTAAATTTTGGATTCCTGAGTGCAGGAATTTTGAGAGTGAATCAGCAGATGAGGGATGTTTCTCTCTTGCTCTTTTTCTCCCTTCCTCCCTCTCCTCACTCACTCCCTGCATGGAGCCCCATCTAGGAAACATTCTGAGTGCTCTGAAAAGCTCCCAAGGCTCTTATTAACCTGGCACATGTTTTTATCAGTATTTGAAAGATGTTCCATGTGCTGCTCTATCCCTAAATATCTGTAACAGCTGGAGTGAGGCTACCTCAAAACCAGGAATTCAGAACTCAATGCAAGTCTTACATGTGAGTGGTAGGGACCCAAGTATTTGACCTGTTGTCAACCAGGGTGCACATTAGGAAACCGGAATCTGAAGCAGAGCCAGGAATTGAACCAAGCAGTCTGATATGAGACGTGGGCCTCTCAAGTCACAACTTGACCATGGACACCAGAGACCTATCCCCAGACACATCTTGGGTTACAGGACTAGAAAGTTGGCCTTGAGTATATATCCATCAATGCCTTGTGTACAAGCTTTGCTGCTTTCCATGCAATGAAGTGCTTTTCTTCCCATGCTGTAGGCTGCTGGTTCTGTTCTGTGCTCAATGTAGTTTCATCACAGGAATGTTTTTCCTTCTTCCATCTAGCTACAGGATCCAGTTCCTAAAACATAAGGGACTTCCAGATTGGTTCTTCTTCCACTCAGAATTCCTGGAGCACCTGATGTGGCTCCCAGTTGGAATGTGGTACTATTCATTGCCACTGTGCTTCATCTTAGTATCACCATCCTGTCTGGTGCCCCCCAGCTACCTGAGGGGCAGGAGCAACGGCATATGTATCCTGAAGGCCTGGCACATTGATGGCTTGTTAGCAATAGTACTTGAGGGGAACAAAATAATGTCTTCAGGTATTGTGACTGCAAGATCATGTCTGGGACAAATCCCCTTCAATTGAAGTGGATTCAAACAATGTTAGAGAAACAGAAAGCTCGGAGTAAGGGTGGACTTCCTGATAATGATGGTTTAACACAGAGGACTTCCACCCCAACTCTGGCAGACCGTCTGAGAGCCCCTGCTCAGTCCCTAGAGAAGGTTAGATGCAGCAGGAAGGAGGAAGCCTGGCCCCAAGCCAAGGGCCACCCTCACCTCTGACATGTGCCATCTATGCCCTGGGCAAGATAAGGAAAGAGGGGAAGGGGCCGCAGACCTGAGACAGAACCTCAGTGGTTAGACGGAGCACCAGGGCAGAGGGGCCCTTATGTGGCACAGGTAGTTCAGGCCCCTAAGTCAGCTACCCTCTCATCCTAGCCCAGGTTGAAGGTGACTTTTCCTGAGTCAGGAAGGAGGAGAATGGCCTGGCTCCCAGAGAAGACCCCAGCTCTGCCCCATACTGCTATGTCTGGCGAGAGCGCACTCCAACTTCCGTCTGTTCTGAGCTCTTCCCTGTAGGCGTCTGGAGGGAACACACAGATGGGTTGAGCTGATGGGACTGGCTGAGCTAGGGGGAGGGAGGCTCATGTGTGGCTCCCATCTTGGGGGAGGTCCTGCACCGTTTAAGCCTCAGCCTTGTGAAAGGTACTGCTGAGCCTTGCTTGTTCCTGTTCCTCTCCTCTTGGCACCTGTGACCACCACCGATGCTCTCCCTCAGACCTCCCCGCCCTTTGCCAGGAGTCGCCATATGCCCCATCCTAGTTTGCCTTCATCTGTCTGGAGAGCTCTTCTTGCTCCCTCTTCTTCCTCTAGGTCACTGGGGCTTTGTTTTGTTTAATCCCAGAACAGGTAATACAGGCCACAGTTGGAAATTCCAAAGGCTAAAAAAGGGCAGACAATGAAAAGTTAAACCTCGCACCCCTGCTTTCAACCCTCCCTGTTCTTTCCAGGAGCAAGCAGAACTGTCAGGGGTTGAATGTGCTGAGTCACATTTGAGTATGGTTAAGCCCATGAGCTCTGTTCTGAGACGAATGCATGGCACACATCACATCAGATGGGATGCACCATTCACATGAACCAGAGACCCCATCTGTGGTCTGGGCCTTAGGGAGCCCAGCCCGATGGCACCCACTCCCTGGGAAGAATTGTTGGGCAAGGAAAATGCAGAGCGCCTGGCTACAGAGCTTGCAAGGTGCAAAAGCATTCAGCTGAGCAGGGTGTCCTGTGTGGCTGCCGAGGTCACACATCTGGAAAGCCACCCCATACCTGTCTTCTCTCCAGGCTCTCCCACCACCTCTGTCTGTAGACTGACTCTTTTTCTGGGTCTCCTGGCCCAACTTGGTCTGAATTTCAGACTCAGTTGTTCTAACAGCTCAAATTCTGCCCCTAAGGAGGAGTTCACTTCCCCCTCCCCTGCCCTGAATTCCAAATTACTCACCGTCCTGCAGCACCTCCCAATCCAAACCTGGCCACTCTTCTACCACATCACTATAATACTATCCCACCGCCCCTTCCCACAGCGCCCCCTTTAGGGTGGTCCTTAATGCCCTCTAGATTCTTGCTCCTGAACCCTAAACTCAGCTCTTGAGGCCTCACTTCTGCTACTTCAATCTCCACATCCTGCTCCCAACCTCCTCTTCCCAAAGGACCAACCAAATCATGTCACTTCCACACTCAGACCTGCAGTGACTCACTGCCTTCAGAGTTAGGCATACACTACTCTGCCTGGCAGGGAAGGTCCTTGGCAGTTAAGGGCTCCAACCCTTCTTTTCCACATTCGAACCTTCTCATCCTGTCCCTGAGGTTCCAGCCCAGCTGGAGAACCATCTGGTCCTGTAATGGGCCCTATGTGCTTCCCTGCATCCTAACATTTGAACTGTCTCTGGTCATGGACCCCAAGTTTGAAGCTTGCTTACTCCACAACAGCCATGCCCATGAGGTTCCTGCATCCCTCCTCCCATCCTGATGGGCAGGGGAGCCGTAAGTGTACGGTTGCAAAAAAAAAAAAAATCACCTCTGAGTGTCAAGCCAACTGGAGTGAAATTTCAGCTCTATTGCTTACTGGGCGACTCAGGTGTTAGCGTTTCTTCCATTATAAGTTAGGTAGCAACACCTTATATGGTCTTAAAAGGCTTAACAGATAAAGCATGTAAAGCCTAACGGCAGTGTCATCATTCATAGATAGCATCATCTCAGTGCTACCTGTGCTAGACTGCTCCCCATTCCACACATGGCTGCCTACCCCTTGCCCAGATGCAAGGCCTCAGGAGACAGCTCATTCCTCTTTCAAGTTCCAGGGTGGAGGCCCAGCCCTGTGGTGCTCAGGTAGCTGTACTGAATATCTAAGGGGGAGAGCTGCCAGCTCAGCTCCCTTTGTTCAAACCTATGGTTCAGGCAGCAGCAGGCGTGGGCGTCCCCAGAGGAGGCAGTGAGTTTCAGTGCTCACATAGGCTCCGCAGGTGACAGCCAGAGTTCTGGGCCCTGTCCAGGGAGCTGCAGGCAGACCTGTCCTGCCCCTGCTCCTGGACCATTCTGTAAATATCCTGCCTCCCTCACCCCACCCCAACACGAGCCAGCCGAAGTCCACCAGCACCCTGAGTAGCTCTGGGAGTTAACTGTGTGTACCCTGGCCTGCTACCTGCAGGTTGAGGTGGGATGAGGAGATGGGACCCTGACTCTGTGTGCTGTGTCCCAGGTCCCTGTTGCTGTCCAGGCTTGTTTTTTCATGGTCAAATGGACTAGGCAGGCAGGGTTATCTGGACCACCCCAGGGCTCTGTCAGTTCCAAATCCTCCCCAGGGTTTCTTACTCCTCTGGACCTGAGTTTTCTTGTTTGTAATAGCAAGTTTCCATCTACAGTTATCTCTTCCCTAGGGGCTCAGGGAATAAACTTAAACGTGAACAGTTGCAGTAGAAAAATTCTTTATTGAAAAGGGAAAAGGTGGCCCCTTGCTGAGGCCTCCTGAGCCTTGGCCAAAGGGGGTTAACCACCACTCAGCTCTTCACACTGGCATCAGAAGGCGGAAAATTTGTCCACACCTTACATTTAATAGCTTTAAAGGGGAAGTACCTTGGTGGCCTGGTAAACCACAGGTTCAAACCAAGAATAGCATTCCCAGGGTTCCCCTGCCTTTAAAAGCTTCTTAAGGGGCAAAGTGGACAAGTGCAGCAGAAAAGAGCTAGAGCGCTTTCAGAGGTCTCTGGAAGAGGGAAGTTTCTGAGTATTTACCTTTAAGCATCTCTTATAAAGGTGAGGCAGATTCACACAAAGTATAAAGGAAGTAAACTCCGGCAAGGAGTCTACAAAGCACTTTCCCAGGTCTGCTCTTTTTTTCCTTTTTTTTTTTTTTTTTCCTTTTTTTCAGAAGTGGCCAAAAGAACCATTAGGGAGCCACCTGGCGTCCTGACCCACAAGCCCATCCCACCCTCTGGCCACACACCCAGCTCACTCTCGCGGTGTGTGTGCCCGGCGTCCGAAGAACGCGCAGTGGTGGCGCCCACGGGCACACCCAGACATCCTGGGATTTTTTGGTTTCCTAGACGGCTTCCACCGAGGAAGCCGGACGGGGCGGGGCAAGGGGGTGCACGGAGGGCGCAGTAGCCATGGCAACTGCTGTGGCCATGGCGACCGTGGCTCAGAGCACAGAGAGGTCGTGACACGACCTGGAGCGCTGCTTGAAGAACTTGGCGTTGCGCGGCACCAGATTGGCGAGGAAGCGCTTGGCCTTCTTGGTGAGGCTCTCGCGGCGCGCGGACGGTGCGGGACCCTCGGGACTGCCAGACTCGGGCCGCTGACCCCCCGCGCGGCCCCGGCCCCGCCGCAGCCGGATCTGGCGCACGGCACCCTCGAAGAGTTCCTTAGTGTTGTGGTGCAGCGCGGCAGAAGTCTCGATGTGTTTGCAGCTCAGCGTCCCGGCCAGGTGGCGGCCCTCTGTGGGAAGGGAACAGCTTTGGCAGCTGCCCACTCGCTGTGCCCTTGTGCCCTGACTGGGGCGGGGCGTGCGATGGGGGCAGGGTGGGGATGGAGAAGAGATGGGGACCCCTGCATCCCACAACTGAGCCAGTAAGACCCGGATATTCCCTGATGTGGGCTGGGGTAGGTGTGCGGAGGTGGGGAGGGAACCTGAAGGAGAGGTGAGGGACAATGAGAAGAGTTCCTCAGGGCCTTGGGGGTCTGCTCTCAGCCCAAAACAGAGGAGTGTGTGCAGTGTGACAGGCCAGTGGGAAAAGGGGGCCCATGCCAGGGAGTTTGTTCCCTGAGGTGGCTAGTACGTGGTCTCTGTTCAGGACACACACCTTCCAGTGACACCTCCCGGGAGCGGGCCAGGTCGCTCTTGTTTCCCACGAGGATGACAGGCAGGTCGTGGTGGGGCCTGCCAGCCCGCAGCCGAAGCAGGGTCTCGGGGACTTTGGAGAAGCTTCTTCGGTCAGTGACGGAGAAGACGATGAGGAAGGCATCCCCGGTCTGGAGGCAGTGATCCCGCAGCCATGCTCCTGTGTCCCCCTGCTGATGGGCAAGAGGGTTGTGGACTGTTAGGGCTGGAGGCAGGAAGGATCCTGCTGGGAGCACCTCCTGAGAGGGGAGGGACTGAGCTGGGAGGGAGAAGACTCCTGCTTACAACAGCAGCAAGGCCATGTCCTGAGCGTGTCTGTAAAGGGGACCCAGGTCAGGAACTCCTGGATGGGACTCTGAACTGGGGCAGCCACCCCACCTGCTTGTGCTTCAGCTAATGCGTCATAACCAACTGCAGCTCCAGGGTCTGTAGTTGGGCCTCCCATTTCTACATGGGACTTGTATGTCCAGGGTTTCCAAAGTTCCCACTTTGTGTTTCAGTTCCTTACTACTTCAGGGTCTTGAGCTCTTGTCCCGTCACTTCAGAACCCTTCTAAGCTGAAGAATAGACAGGGATCAGGGTCAGGGTGAGAGACCCGGCTTGGGGCTGCCAGATCCCGACCCTGACTTTGACCTAGGTCCAAAGATCCTGGAAAGAGTGTAGGTGCTCCAGCCACGGGTTACACATGGGTTAGGGCCTTCGAGTTCTGGGATGACAAGAATGAAAGATTCTAGAGCAAGCAAAAAAAATCAGGTCCTACACTGCCACTAGCCTGTCACCAGACTTTATCCTTTCCCCACCTTCCCTGCCTTCATCACAGCCACATCTTGGTTCTCACCTGTCCCCAGATATCATACACAATCAGAGTCACTTCTTCCTTATCCACTGTGATGCGTCTCTCATAGGTCTCCTCTGTTGGGAAATAAGGGAAAGGAAGTCCATCAGGGATAGGGAATTCCCCAACACCAGGTTCTGTCTGCCAGTTGCTGCTTGTGCTATGAGGCACTTCCATCCCTGACCAGTATCTCATCATCCCACATCCCACCCTCAACTCCTGCATACCTGTGTTCTCCAGTTCATGAGCGCCATCCCCTTGAAGACCCCCAAATGTGCCTGCAAGGGTGCTCTTGCCCACACCGCTCTCCCCCACCAGCATGACCTTGAAGATGCCATCCTTTGGGGCAGAGGCCGCCTCCCCTGAGCCCAAGGAGTCCGAGGAGCCGGAGGAGGAGGCTTGGGGTGGCCAGTCCAACTCATCCACAGCTTGGGCCCGCCGCAACTGGTGCTTATATGGCACAGGCATACTGCCCCTTCGCCTGGGAACCACAGGGGCCGAGGGGGGCCCACCCCGGTCCGATCCTGCCAACAGCTTCTCTGGCTTCTTCAGCAAAGTGGCATCTGCTTCTGAGGGAGAGAGACAGGGCAGAGAAGAGGAAGCTATAAGTGGAGGAGGCTTGGTCATTGGCAGAGAGCTCTGGCCAGCTACACCTGTTCAATAGCGGTGACCCAGAAAAACAGAGAAGTCTGATTCTTGCACTAAACTACTATGGAAGCCTGAACTGACAAAGTCTCCTCAAAGCTGCCATGATGGCACCGCCAGTGTGGTCCCCATAACAAGGTCCATGCATGGTGGCAGGGCGGGGGCACCTGCGTGTGTAGGTTCACACACCCACTGACAGGCAGGCACGACCTTAGCCTCGCCAGAGGAGCTGAGTTAGGGAAGGTGGCCCTTCTTCCACCTAGAGGCCCTCTGCTTGCACTGCTTTCTGCTTTGGTGGTTGCCACATGGAGAAGGGATGGAGAGGGTGCGAAGCTGTAGCTGTGCCCTGCTTCTGGCAGCAGGCACTGGCAGAGATAAACTTTGTAGGGAGCCTGTTTTCCAGGAGTGGCTTTTACACCGGGAGTATGCACGAGGAGGGGCCCTCCAGCCGTGGGCCTAACCTGGAAGCCCCCCAGAGCAGAAGTGTAAGCAAGAGATTCTTCTGTGTCCCTGACTGTCCCTGTGAGTCAGTGGGAGAAAACATGGTGTTGGGGGAGAGGTAAAGAGAGGCAGAGTGACAATGCACGGGTCAGGGCAACCGGAGGAGGAGGAACAGACACAACAAAGGGAGAGGCTGGAAATAGCCCAGGATCAATACTTGGCCAGTAGCCAGGGCCTCCCTGGAGCCAGGAGAAACCCTTCCAACAGGTCCCAGGGCAGCCCCCTGCCCGGGATCCCCAGACATGCCAGCTGTCTCTGGCCTTCCCCTCCCTCTACCCTGCCTGTCCCAGCCCTTTGGAAAGGAGGTTGACCCCAGGAGCCAAGCCCTGGAGAGATAGGGGAGGGTACACTCACGCAGTCCTCTACCCCAGCCTAGCAACCCTAGCCCTCTGGGAGCTGGGGTCTTTCTCCACCTTCAGCATCCTGACTCGCCCTTTCCTCTTGCTGATTGAAACCCCCCACCCCCCAGCCTGCCGTGGCACTGAGCTTCAGCTCCCACCCGCCTGGCCGCGGCTGCAGCCTGTCCAGGTCAGCCCTCACCTGGCGCGGGTGTCTCCGGCGGGGAGGCCGTGGGGCTGCCGGAGGGACAGAGTGCTGTGGTTTCCGTGTCCATGCCGGTGTCGAGGTCCGTGTGCATCGGTGCCCGTGTGCGTGTGCAGCCTCGCGGCTCGCGCTCACTGCTTCACTCAGCAGCACTGTCAGCTTTTTGCTTTAAATGCCACCCCCCCACACACATACTTGCCCTCCCCCCATACACCTGGGGAAATTGTCCCGCCCCTTGATGAGGTCACACATGCTAATGAGCAATGATGTCAGTGGGATTCCCTCCTCTCCACCCTCCCTTATCCTCCGTCTTTTTCCTTTGTGTTGCTTCCTCCCACCCGCCCCTCTGCCCTGGGTAGCAGATATACTGCAGAGCCTGGGAGAGACTGGACAGCAGGACAGGACAAAATCAGAGGGGCAGAGGGCCAGGGTGCCGAGGGGTGGTGAGAAGCAAACTGAGGAAGCAGGAGGCTGACACCCAAGGGAGCCTGAACCTTGCTTGTGTCTTCTTCCAGCCCCCTAGCCCAGGGTCCAGCCCACAGCGATCCTTAGTGACAAGAAAGAGGCAGAAAGTGCAAGAGGCAGAAAGACTAAATGCTGGTCTGGAAGCCCAAGGGACCAAAAAGATGCAGGACAGAGGGCCAGCACCCCTGTCACCTTCTCACTACCCTGCCTCTTCTGAGCTAGGAGCGCTCAGGTGTCCATTTCCTAGCCTGGTTCGCAGGCACATGGGAGGCAGAAATCATGGGGGCCTCCTTTGCTGTCCCCTGCCTTCACCAGATGCTCCAAGCCAGGGTTCATCAGAGCAGGAGAAAAAGGAGACAAAGCTGTTTGCACAGCAGCCCAGGATGCGGCCTTTGCTAGGCCTTTTCATCCCAGTTAACCTTTCCCGGGGTGAGGTGGGAGAAAGTTCCCACTTCCAAGTCTTCTCCCAACATCCCAAAGCACCCAAGTACGCACCTGATTGCCTTCCCTTTCTCACCCTGTTTTGCCAGGTGTTGTGTTAAGCACTTCCGCACATTTTCTTCAATCTACCCTTGGGTTCAGAGCAGCAGGTATAGGACTGTGGCCCCAAAGCAATCCCGAAAGGGTAGGACCAGCCACCAGGTTTCTTTCCCAGGTCTCTGCAAGCCAAAGATTTTTTTTTTTCATGTCTACACTGCACTGCTACCTGTGGCTCAAATATTCTGGTGTCTGCCATTATTAGGAACAGTCTATATCACAGTCCTTACTGGACTTTTTCTAAAGGAAAGACCAATAGTAATCTTAAAAATTCTGGGCAGACCCTCCACTTACCTGGAAGTCAACCACAAGGCAACAGGGAAGCCAGGGGGAGCATTAGGCACCCCTTAGTGGCTGAAATGTACATGCGCTTGGCACCTTGGGAAGGTTTCTCCAGGCTGCTGTTATGGTTTACTGCTCATTACCAATTCTCACTGTCCATGTATCCATGTGTATTCCTTTACTAATACATCAGAAGAACATGGACAGAAGTGACACCCGATGTTAGAAGGAAGTTAACACAAAACAACAAGCAAAAAAAACTGACTAAAGCATTCATTCCTGAAGCATTTAAAAACTGGTCAGGGAGGTGCTGACACACAGGCACAGTAGGTAAACCCATTGTGATGCTGGCATCCCATATAAGCGCTGAATCATGTCCTGGCCTCTCCACTTTTGATCATGTGCCTGGGAAAGCAACAGAAGATGGCTCCACCCACCCACTGTGGGTGGGCCGCTGCTGCCCACCCACCAATATGGGAGACCCTGATGAAGTTCCTGTCTCCAGGCTTCAGCCAGGGCTAGTGCTGGTATTGCAACCATCTGGACAGTGAGTCAGTGGATGCAAGACCTTTCTATTTCTGTCTCTTCCTTTCTCTCTGTAACTTTAAAATTAAAGAAATCTTGGGCCTCGTGCGATGGCTCAGTAGCTAAATCCTCATCTTGAATGCACCAGCACCTTATATAGGCACAAACTCATGCCCCGGCTGCTCCACTTCGCTTCCAGTTCCCTGCCTGTGGCCTGGGAAAGCAGTGGAGGATGGCACAAAGCTTTGGGAGCCTGTGCCCAGGTGGGGGACCCAGAAGGATTTCCTGGCTTTGCTCAGCTCAGCTCCAGCCGTTGCGGTCACTTTGGGAGTAAACAGAGTATGGAAGATCTTTCTCTATGTCTCTCTGCTGTTTCACTCTCCAAATGGCCACAATAGCTATAGCTGAGCCCATCTGTAGCCAGGAACCTCTTCTGGGTCTCCCAAGTGGGGGCTGGGTCCCAAGGAACTGGGCCATCCTCCACTGCTTTCCAGGGCCACAAGCAGGGAGTTGAATGGGAAGTGGAGCAGCCAGAAATAGAATCAGAGTCCATATGGGATGCTGGCACCAAAGGCAGAACTTAGCTGACCTTAATATGGCACCTGAATCCAGGTTAGATGCTCTCATCCTGTGTTAGGGTGCTGGATTTAACATCTAGTTCTGCAGCTCTGCTCCCACTAGCAGCTTCCTGCAGACCCCGAGACAGCTCTGGGACAGCTCAGGTGGTTTGGTTCCTGCCACCCATTTGGGAGACCTTGGTTGAGTTTTCCAGCTCTTGGTTTCAACCTAGCCTAGTCCTGGCCATTGTGGGTATTTGGTGGAGTGAGCAATGGAGGTCTACTTGTCTGTCACTGTGACTCTTAAAAACAAACAAAAAACACCAAACTTTCTAATGGTGTGACGTCATTCAGCATGAGGGCAAAAGCTCCCCACTCGCACGCCACCTGTTATAACTGCTGAAGATACTAACGCAGAGAAACCACTGGTTTCTATAAATGCTCCACTAGTCAGAAAATTTTATATTACACATATGCTGAAGACTAATATAAATTCAGAAACATTTCCTTTCACAGTGAGTTTTTAAAGCATTTCAAATTATAAAGGAATGAACTTCCTGTGTTGGGAAAACTTACTAGATGTGTGGATTCATTTGCATAAAACCTGCTAGGAATGAGGCAGGGCTGTAGATCCAGCTACAATTTAAAGATTTATTTATTCTTTTTTTTTCTTTAATATTAACTGGAAAGGCAAATTTACAGACAGAAGGAGACAGAGACAAAGATCTTCCATCCACTAGTTCACTTCCCAAATGACTGGAGCTAACAATGGCTGGAGCTGAGCTGATCTGAAGCCAGGAATCAGGAGCTTCTTCCAGATCCCCCACATGGGTGTGCAAGGTTCCAAAGTTTTGCACCGTCCTCCATTGCTTTCCCAAGATACAAGCAAGGGGGCTGGATGGGAGTGGAACCACTGGGACACAAACTGGTGCCTATACAGTATCATAGCTCTTGGAGATAGAGGATTAGCCAATTGAGCTATTGTACTGGGCCCTTATTCATTTAAAGGCAGGGTTACAGAGAGGGAGAGATCAAGGGAATGAGATCTTTCATTCACTGGTTTACTTCCCAGATGGTTGCAATAATTAGGCCTAGGCCAGGCCAAAGCCAGGAGCTTCTTCTGGGTTCCCTGCTTTGGTGCAGGGGCCCAGGGATTTGGGCTATTTTCTGCTGCTCTTCTCAGGCCATCATCAACAGGGAGCTGGATCAGAAGCAGAGCAGCTAGGACATAAACCACTGCCTACCATCCAAGCCACATGCCCTACGCTCCCCACCAGCCCTAACCAGAATTATTTTTTAAAGATTTATTTTATTTTTATTACAAAGTCGGATATAAAGAGAGGAGGAGAGATAGAGAGGAAGTGGAGCTGCTGGGATTAGAACCGGCAACCATATGGGATCCCGGCACATTCAAGGCCACGCTGCCAGGCCCCAGAATTATTTTTTTAAAGCTTTTTATTGGAAAGACAAATTAACAGAGAGAAGGAGAAACAGATCTTCTGCACCTTAGTTCACTCCCGAAGTGACAGCAATGGCCAGAGCTGAATTGAGCTGATCTGAAGGCAGGAGCCAGGATCTGCTTCTAGGTCTCCAATGTGGGTACAGGGTTCCAAAGCTTTTGGGCCATCCTCAACTGCTTTTCCAGGCCACAAGCAGGGAGCTGGATTGGAGGCAGAGCAGCCAGGATACAAACAAACACCCATATGGGATTCCAGCACTTGCAAGGTCAAGATTTAGACACTGAGCCATTCTGCCCTCCTCTTTCCTCTCCCCACTCCTGGCCCCATCCAGAATTCTTTACTATAACTTCTGCCCTCAACCCACCGCAGGCAATAGGAATAGGCACAGTTTAACTGTGGAGAAGCCCCTCCTCCCAGCTAGAAGAGGCTACCATGAAGGTCTACCATGAAGCACCGTGGAGACCAAGCCAGTCTGTAGCTTCCCCATTGCCTCTGGGACCCTGGGAATGGACACTGCACAAGTGACTGTGGTACAAGCTGTGTTGTGGGCACCGATAGCTCATGATAAAGGGCCTAGCACCCAGCAGGTGCATTATTCCAGCAGACCTGGTGTGTCCATAGCCTCGGGCAGTGTGGCTGGGCTGCCTCGCCCTACCCAGTAGAGCATCTCAACCCTCTCTGCCAAAAGTCCCACCCACACCCTGAGCCCAGGCACCTTGGACAGTGATGTCTAAACAGGATCCTAAGTTGCTTCATTTATTTTCCCTTGATACCCGTGTCCAGTGCCCAGGTGAAGGACAGAATCCCTCTTTTAGTTTCCCCTACACAAGGTCAAGTCCTTTCTTTCCTCCTGTCAGCCAGGAGCATCACTATGACTAGAAAAAGTAACATTAATACTTGGTTACTAAGCCAGAGCAATATGGAGTGAGCAATGGGTGCTGGATGTGTGTGGATGCTGACATGGTGAACCTGCCAGAACCCACCCAGCAGAGAAGAGGGGCAGGTCAGGCAGGTGCCTGAGTGGCCTCTTGCTGGGCAACTGTCCAGGCTTGCTCCCAAGGCATCATTCACACCCCAGCCCTGTGGCCTTGCCCACTTGGGACCCAGGCCTGGGTCATTTCTCATGTTTGTCATGGGTATTCCCTCCCCTATCACCTGCCCTGGCCACTACTTGTGTTCCTACTTCCTTTGTTCAGGTGTTCCAGCCTACACCCTAGCCTGGACGTGTCCCTAGGGGACTTGTCCTGTGGACTCTCACCCCGCCTGGC